CTCAATACATATCTGAGTAAGTCCCTTCCCTTCAAGTAAAAAGCATCAGCAGTAGCAGGCACAAAGAAGATGCATACACCACTGCCCACTTCTAGATGGACTCAGAAGCTATGCTTGAAAGTACAGCTGGCACTCAGAGAACAGGGTTTGTAGGGGCCACTGAGAGAGTTGCACAGGTTTCCACTCTTCCCTCTCTGAAAGTCCAGCAAATCCTTCCCAGACAACAGCTGAAATTGTTTGTCCTGGGGGATGCACAATGCCCCTTTGCCACAGCACAGGCTCAGATGTGGAGCAGATGCTCCACCACAGGTCTTCTCCCCCAGAGCTGGTGTGGTTCTGAGGGAGAAGCGGAACCCTCTTCCTCCTCAGTGAGAGCTGGGGAGCAGCTCCTCTGAGCACCACGCAAAGGCCATGGGGGTTGTGGTTTTCTCCCTCTGGTATGACTTATCAAGCTACATCCAGACAATTTAGGGCTCACTGAACACTCACACTCTTAGAAATTACACACTGGAGATGTTCATGAGTAGAAAGGTGCTCCCCGGATGGCAACATTCCCAAAATCATTTGTGTGTACTTGTTTGAAGTGTGCACCAGCCATCAAAAGGGTTGCAGGTATTGTGCTGCTGGTGTGTGTTTTGTCACAGGGTAGACCCTGCACATTGCTGGGCACTTAAAGCTCAGCCAGAAGAAAACACTTTCTGTGAACAATTCAGTCAAAGGAAACTGGGATGTGCAGAAAGGTATCATCCCTACTTCATATGTGAACTCTAGAAAGAAATAGCTAATTAAAGCAAGTGCTGCTCTGCAGGAAATCATGGCATTCACTGTGCTGAATTCCCACTGCTGATTGTCCACCCTGATCTAAAACTTGGGTTATCAGCTCATCCACATCTGATGTTTTTTACAAGATTGATTTTTAAGTTGTATATTTAAAAAGGGGTTGCTTTCTACCTCTTGAACTATGCAATCCTTTACTTACAAAACTATCTGTACACTAGGCTGTGGACTTACTGTTGTCAAGTCAATGACTTGTATAACGTCATCACCAGGTTATTTTCCCATACTTACCCTGGAGCCCCTTACTGTAGTTTTGTTTCCATCTCCTCACCATAGGGTGGTCGACGATATCTGGTTAAAAACAGATGGAGAACTTTATTAAACACGAGTGAATGCTGGAAAAAAAAAAATGTACTAGGACTGGAAGGATGTAAAGAGAAGTGGAATGCCATATCGAACGTGTCACTTGCCTTGCATTGTTTGCTTCCAGAGCCATGCAAGCAGCTGCGGTGATAGCGTTATCTGCCGACTGCACTGCTGATTCAGGTAGCCTTTCCCCTCCCAGCTCACCCTGTACGCTGATGCAGCACCATATAGCTAGGGAAAAAGAGGAAACTTTTCAAATCTAGGTCCTAAGAAACTACCACCATCTTCATTTCCTTTTCTATCTGTAGGTACTTCTACCTCGCAAAACAGAAGCTCAGGGACAAAGGGCCTCATCAGTATTGGTAAATTAAACTATGACTGGGGATGAACCATGATCATCTGTATTAGTAAGGTGTTCAGGCATTCCATAGCCCATAGTAATTACTGCCATGAGGCACAGTCCAGAGTCAAGGACCTAATCTCAGCTGGCCATCAGCACAGAGCCACTGTCTTCTGAAGTAGACAGCATTTCACTAGCATAGATGAAAGCTCTTCCAGCCGCCTGGTCTGTGTGGCTGAGAATGTTCCCAGGTATAATTAATTCGCTAATATATGAGTACTTGATAACAATTCATGGTTATTCAGGTGTCTACTATCTCTATTGACCAAGATACGTGCTTCTTTCATCAGACAGCCAATGTTACTTTAAGCAAAAACAAGTTCAACCCACAGACTAACAGGGCTGCTCTAGTGACTTCTCTAGAAAGCTGGTGGTAAGCATTGCAATTATGCCTTTCCAGCTACAATTTCATAAGAAAATAACCCTCTGTCTGTAAAATATCACTAGGACTCAATAATAAATTCCACACTTGCATCAGAGGGCAAAGCTTAGGTCCCTGAAGAGACAGAGGCTTACTCATCCCTGATGAACACCTCATTAACTTCCCTTGTCATTTCATTGCACATTCCATACTCTCAATTTTACTGAACCTCCACCTTGCCCTAACTGGAACATTTGCTAACTTCATCCTAACTGTATTCTAAATTTGCCAGGGAATACAACTTACCCTTCATCCTCCATCTGTGATCATTGTTAATGCCCCATTTCTTTCTACAGCTTTGGATCAGAACAAGGTCTCCACCAAATCAGAAAGCACTTGCCATCAGCAGAAAGACAGGCACCCATTTGTGGAGAATCCACAGCAGTCACTTAAAATATTCTTACAGAAGTGTGTGGGTTTAAAACTGCACATTTGGAAACCCAGAAAACTGTAATTGCAAATAATTACAACTTGAATTCATTAGCATTTTGCATACATAAATATTGGATGCATAAGAAGTCATACAGATTGTAGAATTTTTTTTTTTAAGAAGCTATTTTTAAAAGCCCAACCTACCACATTCCATCCCAAACTCATGCTATTTCTGTGGCTTCTTGGAAGGTAGGTAAGTACCAAAACGGTAGCAGCCCTCTAATGTGGAAAATACCTTCTGCTCCAGAAGAACCCAGATACAAAATAAGGGCTTCTGTGTAGAGAAGTCCTTGAATTCCAAATGTCTTACACCAGTCTGTGCAGCAGGGAAACTGCTGTAGATGTCAGGATCAAAACCGCACACTCCAAATCTATCAGCCCTTTTTTTTCACGTCCTAGGATGGTGGTTTTTCAACATTTATTGATCAGAGTGATCTTATATCTGTGAAAAGCAACCTCAGGATCACTTGTGCAGTGTTGCTGCAATCATTTTCACGTACAACCAATAATGGTTAGGTTAAACCTCCAACATTCATTTTCTGTTCAAAATTTTTTTTACCTTTTCAGCTTGTCTTCACTCTTCAGAAAGAAATGAGAGACCTGGCTATCCTAGACAAAGAGAAGACTGAGGTTCTCAATGACATCTATGCCTCAGTCTTCAATGGCAAGTGCTCTGGTCATACTGCCCAAGTTGAGAAAGGCAAATGCAGGGGCTGGGAGAATGAAGACCCTAAGCCCACAGTAGGAGAGGATCAGTTTCAAGATCATCTAAGGAACCTGAATATGCACAAGTCCATGGGACCTGATGAGATTCATCCATGGGACCAGAGGGAGCTGGCAGACAAAGTTGCTAAGCCACTATCCATCATATTTGAAAAATCATGGCAGTCAGGTGAAGTCCCTGATGACTGGAAAAAGGGAAGTATTTTTAAAAAGGGGGAAGTGGAAAACCTGGGGAACTACAGACCAGTCAGTCCCGCCTCTGTGCCAGGCAAGATCATGGAGCAGATTCTCCTGGAAATTGTGCTAAGGTACATAGAAAACAAAGAGGTGACTGGTAACAGATAACGTCTTTTTAAAGGAGAAATCATGCCTGAGAAATTTGGTGACCTTCTACGACAAGACTACAGTATTGGTGGATAGGGGCAGAGCAACTGTCACTGTCTACCTGAACTTATGCAAAGCATTTGATGCTGTCCCACACAAAATCCTTGTCTCCAAGTTGAAGAGACACGGATTTGATGGATGGACCACGTGGTGGAGAAAGAACTGGCTGGATGGCTGCACACAAAGAGTTGTGGTCAATGCCTCATTGTCCACATGGAGACCAGTGAGAAGTGGTGTCCCTCAGGGATCAGTACTGGGGCTAATACTATTCAACATCTTTGCTGGCAAAATGCACACATCTCAGTGGGCACACTGAGCAAATTTGCTGACGACACCAAGCTTTGTGGTGTGGTCAACACACTGGAGGGAAGGGATGGCATCCAGAGGGACCTTGATGGGCTTGATAGGTGGACTGATGCAAACCTCACGAAGTTCAACAAAGCAAAGTGCAAGGTCCTACACCTGGGTCGTGGCAATCCCAGACACACCTACAGGTTGAGTGGAGAAATGATTGAGAGCAGCCCTGTGGAGGAAGACTTGGAGATAGTGATTGATGAAAAACTCAACGTGAGCTGGCAATGTGCATTTGCAGCCCAGAAAGCTAATGGAATCCTGGGTTGCATCAAAGGGAATGTGGCCAGAAGGTCGAAGGACATGATTCTCCACCTCTACTCTGCTCTTGTGAGACCCCACCTGCAGTGTACAGTTCCGATGCCCCCAATATAAAAAGGACATGAAACTGTTGGAGCACGTTCTGAGGGGAACCACAAAGTTGATGAGAGGACTGGAGCACCTCCCTTTGAAGACAGGTTGAGAAAGGTTCATCCTGGAGAACGGGAAGTTGTGTGGAGACCTCACAGTAACCTTCCAGTATCTGAAGGGGGACTAGAAGAAAGCCAGAGAGGGACTCTTTGTCAGGAACTGTAGTAATAGGACAAGGAATAATGAGTACAAATTGAAAAAGGGGCAATTTAGGTTAGATATTAGGAAGAAATTATTTACTGTGAGGATGGTTAGATGCTGGAATAGTTTGCCTAGGGAGGTTGTGCATGCTCTAACCCTGGCAGTATTCAAGGCCAGGTTGGATAAGGCATTCTATGATTAACGAAATAAGTAGGTACATGAACAACTGGAGAATCAAACACGGCCTAGAACCGCAGGTGGTAGATACTTGATATTGATGCTAAGAACACCAAAGGAGCAGGCAAAACCCAGCAGCGCCAAGTAGGAAGACACCCCCCCTGCATCTGCAAAGAGCTCACCCAGATGCAGCCAAGATCCTTGTCTGCTACCTCAGAGTTATGGACTCTAAATTCACTCCAAAAATAAGAAATGCAAGGCTGTTCACAGAAGAAAAGCTTTTGAGTGTTGGTTCCCATTTCTTCTAAATACATACAAAAATTTGCATCGTTAACAAGCTCACACATTGAGAACAGACTTCACTCATACAAAGGTCTTAAAATTATCCAAACTGACACAAGTTCCGTATTACTAATATACATCAAGCTTAGAACAACAGGTTTATTTAAAAATACACTTTATTTACAAGACATTCAAAATTCATTTTGAAAAAAATATAGCTATACATAAAACTTTAAATTTTTCACTAATGGTTAATAAAACCATAGTGAGATTTACAATTCATTGATTCAGTAATCACGGAAATTACATCTTGGCACATTAAGTCATATAATGAACAGAAAAACTGGAGGAAACTTTTAAGCAACATAACTCCATAAATGTAACAATTTTGTACAGCAACATCCTCGCAACAAGGTGTCACTGTTCAAATAAAGTATTTAACATAGAAAGTGCTTCCACTGTACAGCAGAGTAAAGAGAACTTACAGGAATGTTCATAGCTTTTGAATGATCTTCTACCTATTTTCTAATTAGCGATCCAAGCTTTCCCCCAGGATATTAATGAATGACCAGTGAACCCCCATGATTTCACTATACCTTCCCAGGTTTAGAAACCAACCTTTTTAGAAAGTTGATTCAGGTAGAGTGTTTATAAAGAATTTAAGTATATATAAATGCATATGTTCACATCTCAGGACGACTACTACTCAGACAACAATTCTACACAGATCACAGGATACAAAATAGTCCTTATAGCTCACATAATAGCTCACATCAAGCCATCCATAGACCTTGGGTGGTAAACTTCACTTTGGGGAAAATTCAGGTGCTGGCATATTCCCTTCAAAGTTCAGAATAAAAGGGAGTATTCAGGACAATAAGTGTTATTAATCAGGAATGGAAGAGGGAAAGAACAGGAAAAACTAAAGGTCAAAAAGTGGTTTGCAATGGTAAGGTGTGTCACATAGGAAAACCAGAAAGAGGGTGAATTTGAATAGAATGGAGTGCAGAAATTTAACCAGTGCATAAAAGAGGTATTCTTAAACTGTATTATAAGTACACCACCATGACCAGAGGGCTAGCAAAACCATCCTGCTTTTATTGAGGAAACAAAATAAGAAAAACATTAATAGGAAAAAACCACAGAACTATGAGTCGGAGTAAGTATTGAAAAGAACACAAGGAAAATGAAGTCAACTAAAAACTTGGCAAGACAAAAGCAATACTCCTAAAAATTGCAGCAGTTATTTTTCTTTACACTGAAGAACAAAGGCAAGACCTGCATTCAGAGAGTTACGAAAGAAGGAAAAATTAACAATCAAATCGGCACTTTTGGCACATATGAAAAGGTGACAAAGAATTGATTCACTTTAGAAAAAGGCACACAACTGATGAAGGCCCATAAACTGCTTTTGCTTTTGCATTCAGTGTCATGTTAACTTATTCCAGATTTCACTTTTACTCCAGAGCGATCTGGTAAGGTTACCGAATGTTTCGCTGTCATACAACTAGGTCACAGGTATGACTGGTTATGGGTCAGAGGGTCACATTAGCTGGACAATCAGTTGAAAGTCAAACATAATTTAAGCAGATTTCCTTTGCTACAGGCAGTGATGGGCAGAAACGGACAACCACTGCAAGAGAACCCAGATGCCATAACGAGACAATTGTAAGGCAGTACTTGAAGAGGACACAGTAGCGCAATCAATCAGGGAGGGAAATAAAGCAATTAAGCTAAAGAGGCCAGAACAGAGATTTTATGACAATGCAGTGGATTACAAAACTGAATGTAAAACTACTGCCCATAGATACAGGCAGATACTGAAATATACTGTATTTCAAAATGAGGGAAGACTACTCCAAGAGAATGAGAAGAGATATGCCAAGAACTGAAGGGAAATAAGCCAATACAACATACACACGGGAATTAAGTCTTCTATAGAATTAGAGAGGGGCCACCCAGTACAGCCTAGTTGTGACACACTTAGAAGAGACGAGAAAAATATTTTGTTGTGGGACTCAAATGAAGGCAAAGATGTGGTCAGAAACCTACACAAAAAAAAAAAAAGCAATGTTCATCTCATAAATAACATAACTCTGTTGGTTTTGCTTGCTTAACTAATAAAGCAAATTTAAAATCTGCTTGTTTTCTAGACCTGAAGATTTGTATAATCCCTGGTATTTTCCCATTTATTCACAGGCAACAATTACAGTCCATTCAATCAGACAAGAAAAAAAAAAAGCCTAAGAATGTTACTTCATTGTATTTTCAGACTTCAACACTTTCAAAAGTTTAGAAAATACATAACCATGGTTTTAACAAATACTAGAAGAATAAAGATGGTCCATTTTGTCAAATGCTCCAACATCACACATACAAGGTTTTTTTAATCCCAGAGTAAATACTGCCATTCCAGTTTTCAAACATTTAATAAAATATATATATATTTTAAAAATTACCTGATTTAAGACACAAATGCATAATTATGAAAGAGTGCTTGTTTTAGAGGATATCTGGAAGTAACTTCTCCTTAGACTTTGTTGTTATTTTAGGAGCTTTCCATTCTGGTTCTCAGAAACCATATAAATGTATTTGTTATTTACATCTAAACCTCATCATTTAAACACCATCATAGATGAAAAGAAGGAAAAAAAAAAGAACAGAAGAAAGGGCTGTCTTACTTTATGCCACATGCTTTTAAAAGACAGAGCAATTCTTACAATGTTTCCTGATTTACATTAATTCGTGCAATAACTGCCAAGCAGGATCCTGCTGCTGCCAACGGAAGCAAACAGGTCAGAGGATCAAGCTTTTAATTATATTAACAAATGTTAATTTATATAATAAAAATCTATAATAAAAGGCTCTGAAACATATTAATTCACCCAAGAATCTGTTCAAAAGGGACAGGTAACTACAAATCTAGAAATGTGCTATTTAGACTGCAAACACTGCTTCAGTAAATACTATTTTCCAAGCAGCAAAATATCCTGCTGTGTGTTTTAATATTCATTGAATTAATGCAATCATCTTTATTAATGTGAAGTTGGCTGCTTCTAAACCAGCCTTACAGGGAGGTCCCGGTATTGTCCCAGCCCAGGTATGAAATCAATTTGCTCTTTCTGTTAAGGTGTCGCTGAGGTAAAGACAGCACTATTTTATAAAGGTGTCCCCATGAATAAATGGATAAAATAGCCTGTCCAGGCCACACAGACCATTGAAAGGCTGCTTTTGAAGCAAAGTGTATTTGAAAGCTTCTGGATCCGACCTGAACGGCCAGGGAGGCTGAGCACTACACTCAGTGTGGATTAGGTAGTGGATCTCCTCTCCCAGAAACATGGAGAGCACACCTGACCTAAACCCAACACTGGTGACAGAGCACATCACCTTGTTTTCCTTAGAGGACCCCTGCATGCCTTCAGAAAAGAACAAGCAGCAAAAAGACAATGAACTGCTTCACTAAATTCACTTCGAGATACACCTTTGGGCAGGGGGAGGAAGGGCAGGGCAGAGGGGAGGGCTCAGACCTTTAAAGGCAGACAACAAGAAATAATTAAGACTAAACTAGGAACAATTCCCTGGTTTAATTTTTTTTTTAAAGCTCCCTCTAAGTGATAATACTGCATACAAGACTTAAAGGTACTTCCTTAATTAATACAATTATGTCTTAATTAATAAATTATGTCTTAATAATAGAATTGCAGAATTTTAACTGTTTATAATAAACACATTAGCTTATTTATTCAGCATGAATGACAACAGACACTCAGTGTTAAAGATAATGCAATCATCCCACACAGTGATAAAGTAAGACCATGGTTCTTAAAACTTCTGTTGTCAGAAGGAAAAAAATATTTAAAAAGACTGAGTTGTACAATCATAATGGTGAACAAGATAAAAGTGAATTGGATGACTGCCTACATTTCCATTTGCTAGAATCAGTGCAGACAACATCAGTAGGTATTTATTTGCTTTCATGATAAGCAGTCATGAGCACACTCATCTGTAATTAGGCTGGGACTCCAGTATTACTATTAGAGAAGCAAGACCAGCTTCTGCTCTGTCCCTAAATACAGGAGTCAATCAAGAAAACAATGCAAGTCAAAATTCCTGAGTGCTTCCCCTTAGACACACTTAATTTCATTCACAAACCCCACTGGCCAGGAGCACAAGTGTTACTGTAAAACATGAAAAAATGGGGTTTAAGGACCAGCAAAGCATCTTTACTGAAGTCCTTCATAAATATACAGTACTTCAGCCCAATACAATCATTAACTGGCCTCGGTGCTTTGAAGAAACAGCTCACTTCAGCAGGAAAGGCCAGAGTTTCATTCCCAGTGCCACTGGCCATGAACTGCAAACATCAGTGCAGACAGCGAGCAAGACACTCCATCCACTCTAAGAACAGGAATTCACCCTTATTTTGGTGGCAAACTGGGTAAGGCTGTATCAGAAAAATCTTAGATGAATGCAACAGCCTTGGTGGAAATCTTAATCCTTATTTCAGATACAAGGGGTTTTTAGGTGTATTTTGGTTTACAGCTAAAGCACAGAAATCTTTTTGCCACACCAACTTCAGCTACAACCACCAATGACCCCATTCACAGGCATGATACGTTTGTTCTGTGAAAACATGATGCAGACTAGAGGGAGCTGCCTAAAACCGTGTACTGCTCGCCTGTGATTTGTCATCAGAAATGTCACAATTTTTCAGGCTGTCCTCTGCTGCCGGGTCTTCGATTGGGATTTCAATGTCACTTTTACTTGAACCATTGTCTTTGTGCCCTGCAGAAATGTAACTGTTGTTTTTCTCTGTGTAGCCATTAGTTTTAGCCCGGGGGGGCTCCCTCTGACTGCAGCACAGCTGAGGGTCACAAGCTTTTGAGATGCAGGGCGAGCTGCACAGTAGCTGGGAGGTCTTGTGGTCAACATACTCTGGCTGGATGGTCACAGAATGGACCCCTGCTTCATGGAAAATCTCCCGTATTTTGTAAGCAGCGTCTTGGTAATTGGCAGGGGTTTGGCACTTGACATGAAGAGTGGCAATATTCTTCCCACTTGCAAGCTCCCAAACATGTACCTCATGAAGGCTGCTAACTCCTGGTACACGAGCTAGTCTGTCAGCTGGAAGACATAAGAAAAAGGTATTAGAGGCTTTGGTGTACTGGCTAATTATCCACTGTCCCATTTGGCACCCCATCCAAAAGCAGCAGTATCCAAACTATCATTTTAGAAGAGATATACTTGATAAAACATGTTTACTCCCAGCTGCCTTCAGTTCAGCCTCCAGATGACTGCATGAACAGGCCACCTCTCCTTTTGGGTTCACCCTTTCCTCAGGCAATTTACCATTTACCAACTGTTCATACAGGAAATGTTAGAGCACCAATTCCTCCATCAAGACCCCATATCTTCTGCTTTCTTTCCATCCTGAGCATGATGGAATTTCAGAAATACCTAGTGCTACCCCACAATTGACCAGTGTGAACAGCACCTTAGAGTTACAAAATAAACCAACCTTAATGGAAATTTCTCAGCTGTTTTGGAAGCCTTTAGGAAGAAGCCACTACAGGGTTGGGAAATATTGTAACTCAATGTCGTTTCTTTCACAAACAACCCATACAAAGCATTAACAGCTCAAGACCTGGTATTTTTGATGTATTGTTGGAGTACCACATTCTCAAAATGCATGCTTTAACTAATCCAGAGAGATTTGAGTCATGTTGCTAGGACACAGGCATGTGACTATTTCTCACAGTTCTTGAGCATTTGGAGCTATTATGAGTAAATAATCCAAACCTGTCATTCCACAAATAACATATGCATTGAAATATATCATTAAAATTAACAGCATTTCAACAACAAACTTGACTTACTCAGTACTTGTATATTAACACCTTTGGGGACCATCTGCAACAAAATAGTTGAGGTCTCCTTGATAAGTGGGAATGCAGAAGACAAGATGATGATCACCATAACTATTGTCAAGCTTGGATCAATGTAGCACTGCCAATTACACGCAGCATCCCCCAGAGGACGTACATAGAAGATAGTAGCAGTAACTACCACGACCACAGATCCAAGTGCATCTCCCATAACATGCAAAAGAACACCTGAAACAAATGGCACAATTTCCATTAGTGGGGTGGTTTTGGTTTCTTTGCTTTGTTTTGGGCTTTTTAGGGGGTAGGGGGGAAACACTCCTGCATTTTTCAAGTATGTTCTAGTTGACATGAAGAATGCAAAATTCCAGGCATTAATATCATAACCAAAGTTTTCAGTAACCACTTTCAGGAAAAAACAGCAAGGGAAACACTAAATCTGAAGCATAGCTATTTAAGTAGGATGCCTTATTAAACATGTAGGGTAGGCCAGCAACTTCTGTCCAACTGCAATGCCATGGTAACATAAAATGTGTTTGCTTCAATGCCTGCAAATTTTTAAGAGATTCTGGCACATTAAATCTCAATTAAAAATTGATGACTAAATCTATCAGTTCTACCCTGGAAGCTGAGAGAGCCACAGATAACCCCCAGTAACAGTTATTCTCCCCCATCAGTTTCTATGACACTCCTGAAATCTAAAAAACTACCTAAGTAAAATCTAAGTCCAGCCTTGTGGCTCTGAATACCCTCAAACTCCAGTTTTCAGAACAAGCTTGATTACCAGTCATATTAAATCTTGTACACCAACACTACTCAGACTCAGCAAAAATCAGACTCTGGTTTGAGATCAGTCACATGGTTTAGTATGTGCCTGGACTACTCTAAATGGAGAGGAATGCTAGGTGCCTCTTTTTACATCTTTAAATACTGTTTTGCACAAAAGGCAAAGACACAAAACAGGCTCTTTAGTAGCACAAGTTTAGCTGCCCTTTAAACTACAATGACCAAAGTAGTTTTCTTGCTATGAAGTTACAAAAATCCAAGAAGTCTCTTTTTCTTCTTTGTCTTTTTATTACTTTACATAAACTTCCCTCTTCCCATCACTACTCAAACCACTCCACTTTTGTCAGTCTTTACTATTCAGACTCAGATTTCATTCCAACCCATGCCTAGTTCAGGGCATTTCTCTATATATGAAGTTAATTTCTTTGTCAATACTTCTTATTTGAGACCTATGAGAGAATAAAATGAACAATCACCTTTTAACACCCCCATGACATGTACTTTGAAGTGTTTCACTGCCATTTAATCCCTTCTTTGGGCTAGAGAAGCTGTAAAAAACTCCCCCCAAAACTCATTAACAACACAGCAAAGAGTTTGGACTCTTCGGTGATGCTGGATACTGGATTAGCCCTAGAATTGTGCCTGTGCTGCTGTTTCTTCACAGTTCTGGACACACACACCTTGATTTGTGCGAGGCAACAACCTCTGGAGTTCCTCCAAATCACTTGGGTCAGATAAGAAAGTACAAGCTTCTAGTGAGTCCGACTCTTTCTGCTAGAGTCAGGCATGTTCTGCCCCATTTGGCAGACTTCCACAGGGTTTTACTCCTCCTAACAGTGTTGCAGTGTTTTCTTTTCATTTACAAATAATCTCAATTCAGCATGGGCTATCAACTATTGCACTAGCAAGAGGGACAGGCAGGATGCAATTGCCAAGGCAACTAACCAAAGAGAACAGTTTATAAAGAACAGGAAAATGTTTCAGAAAGTCTTCTTTTGAGTTAAGAAAAAAGTAAGTATGTCAGAATTTTGAGGAATTATTAGCTGAGAATACAGAATTTGGAAAATGCTTATGTTACACTAATAATGTCAATAATATGTACACCCTGGTAATACATCAATAATGAGGGCCTAGGCAGAAATGAACCCATTTCCCTATCAAACCCCAAAAGCTACAATTATAAGCTAGAAATGAAGATTAATTTTTACTAAATAAAGTATTAATAGTGGTATGTTAAGCATGGTAAGATCACAGTTTCCAACAGCTTGTGTTGGAAAGTCTGAATTACCCTGCATATGCTCAAGAAGTAAAAGGAATAATTTCACACTGCAATAATTAATCCTGTCAGGCAGAATTTGTGGATTCCTGTTCCTACCACTTCTAAAATCAAGGAAGCCATTCCTCTAACAATCCATTTTGTCCAGCCATGTTTTTCAGGGAGGCTCCAATTCTACAACATAAGAATTTTTTGCCAAGTGATTATAAACTAAGTATAGCTATGTAACTAACTTCAAAAGAAAAACATAAATGTTGAATCAGAATTTTAAAGACACATATCTGTAGCATTGGTTACAGAAGCAATGAATATTTGTAAGGACAATAAAGACTGATTTCGTAAAAACTACATATCAAAGTATTACTTACAAAAATTTCTCTTTTTAAAAATGAAAGATGACAGCTATTTTAAAACAACTGTTTTAAAATATCCTTATCCTTCAGACATTTTTGAAAGTTTCCAGCATCATTATACCCAGGCACTGTGGTTCAGGCAAGCAAGGCCTTCTCTAAAGGAATTTCTTATCCTTCTCTCCTCATCCCCAGAATAAGTTTGCTTATTCTGCTGCAATAATCTTACCATTATAATGCCATAATATTCAGTGACACCGATTTCTAGACATCCAGGCAAGTGTTGTGGCTCTAGCACATGGTTTGATTTTCCAAAGCATCTTGCCTTATAGATGCATTCTGTAGCTCTGAAAACACTTTTGAAAGACAGGTAGACAGACACACACACACACACACACACACTAAAAAAACCCCAGCAAACCCAGGTGCCTGACTGCCACGTCGATCTCTTAAGCAGAATTCACACAATGCAAATTTACACAACCTTGGAGGAATATCAGATGTTGATACATGACCATAAGAAGCCTGAACTACTATCCTGTCAGGTTTCTGACAGCCCTTTCCCTGGGGACAAACTCAATGTTTCATATATTCAAAGACATCTGCATTTGGCTCTGCTCAGAGTACCTATATAGACATGTATACATAGAAACACCTACACAGACAGGGAGTGACACGTGGGTAATTTATTCCTAGAAGTAGCTATAGTATTTCGCTCCACAGATTCCCAGAGACCTGCCAAATTACAACATAAGACGGCTGATCCTGTCCCAGACTTTTCCAGGAATGGGTTCACAGTTCAAGGACCTGGAAAAACACGGTGCTGCAGCACCATTTTCGGAACTTTTTTCCTTGTGCTGACAGCAAAACATTATCAATCTTGGAATTTAAAAGAAATTCTGTTTTCTGCTGAAAAGCATTTTAAAGTTGAAAACTGCTCACCTACTACAGCTGTGACACTCAAAGATGCTCCTCATAGCTACCTGCGTTACCTTCCTGTAAAGCCTCTACTGACTTGAGCTTAGTGCAATAGGGTTTGTATCCTTTCCAAAATGTTTGGCTGCACTCTTCTAAAGAATAAAAATCAAAATGTGAGCACACTCAGAGACAAATCGGCATGACACTATTTTGTTACTACCTCTACTATCTCATACAACCAAAACCTTTCTGCTGAAGATAACCAGATCCAATTACATAGAAGAGTCCTGGGCTTTTGCTCCCTTTCTTACTGATAATTTGGGAAGGGGGGGGAGGAATCTGAAATGCAAACCATAAAGTGTTTTAAGCTAATATAACATTAGCAGTATATTCCCATGCCATACCTCTGATGTTCAAGGCTTCAGACTTTTTCTCTTTTTTCTTCTCAGACCCCTCTTCAGGGCTTTTTTGGTCATTTGGTGAATCACCTGCATTCAAAGAAGAAACGCTGTGTTGTGTATAAGTTCTACAAACAGAAAAAACATCAACCTTCTCAAAACCAACTTCTTTCAAAGATGACAAGAAGAAAACAACCAAGCCAAAACATTTCCTATGCAGCCCTCTGAGCAACGCCTCCTTCCCCCATCCCGCGGAGACGCCCAGCAGGCCAGTGTAAAGTACAAGGTGAAAGAGGCGGCGGGTGTCTGAATGAGCTTAGTGAAACCCCACAGGGCCCACGGGTGGCTCTGGGGCTCTGAAAGGGCCCAGAGGATGGGTCCAACAGCTCGGCGAGTCCCGAGGGCAAACGAGATGGAGGGATGGAATGGGGAGGGATGCAGAAGCGGGGGGTGAGGGATGCGGAGAGGTGAGGGACACGAGAGAAAGGCGAAGATGCAGCCGAAAGGCACCTGCTTCAGCCGCCTCCCCCTCCGGCGTGCCCCCGGGCACATCCCGGAGCTCAGCGGCGGCGGGCGGCGGGGCGGGCGGGCGGCGGCGGCAGCAGGCGCCCCAGTCCTGAAAGACGAGGAGCCCCACGACGTTGACGGCGAGGCCGAGGGTGCCGACGATAAGCACCAGCTGGGCGTCGTCGATGGGCTCGGGCCGGGCGAGGCGCAGGACGGAGTCCACGAGGATGGTGAAGCAGAGGGCGGTGAGGAAGACGGCGTTGCTGAGGGCTCCCACCGCCTCGGCGCGGCTGTAGCCGTAGGTGGCGCGGGGCCCGCGGCGGCTGCGGCGGGCGATGCGCCCCGTGGAGAGCCCCACGCAGAGGGAAATGAGGTCCGAGAGCATGTTGAAGGAGTCGGACACCAGCGCGATGGAGTTGCCCAGGTAGCCGGACACCAGCTCGGCCACGAAGAAGCCGACAGTGAGCACCAGCATGAAGATGAGGCGGCACGTCTTCCCCGAGTACCGCCCCATGGCGGTGGTGCGCTGCCCGCGGGTCCCGCTCCGCGCTACCGCCGGGACATCGCCGCCGCCGCCGGCCCGCAATAAGTGCGGGCGGCCCGGGCCGCGCCACCGCACACGGGCCCGCCCGCGGCCCGGCCCCGCCACACGGCACCGCCCCGGCCCCGCCCCGGCCCCGCCGGGCCTCGGGAGCTGCCGCGGGGGGCACGAAATCAGCCAGACACGGAATAAATAGGAAAAAGAGATGGGCCGCGGGCAGGCGCGGAGCTGGCGCGGTGACTGGCGAAGGGCCCTGTCGGGTGGGCAAAGTCACTCAGTGCTGCCCTGCCTGCGCTCCCACCATCCAGAGACGGTGAAGTCCCAGTGATGGATCCAATAATTATGCTCCTTTGGTGCTTTATTGGTGGCTTCAGTGCCAAATCAAAGGACAGAGTGCCATCTACTGAGCCAGCTCATTTCCGGCCACCAGCCTTTAAAAAGGTGTGTCAAAAACCCAATCGAGTCCTGGGTTGCATCAAAAGGAGCGTGGCCAGAAGATTGAAGAAGGTGATTCTCCCCTTCTGCTCTTTTGAGACCCCACCTGCAGTAGTGTGTACAGTTTTGGTGCCCGCAACATAAGAAGGACATGGAACTGTTGGAGCAAGTCCTCAGGTGGGCCACCAAGTTGATTAGGGGACTGGAGCACCTCCCCTACAAAGACAAGCTGAGAAAGTTGAGGCTGTTCAGCCCGGAGAACGAGAGGTTGTCTGGAGACCTCACAGCAACCTTCCAGTACCTGAAGGGGCCTACAAGGGAAGCGGGAGAGGGACCCTTTGTCAGGAACTGTAGTAATAGGACCAGGAGTAATGCGTACAAATTGAAAGATGGGAAATTTAGGTTAAGTATTAGGAAGAAATTGTTTACTGGGAAGGTGGTGAGATGCTGGAATAGGTTGCTCAGAGAGGTTGTGGATGCCCCAACCCTGTCAGTGTTCAAGGCCAGATTGGATAAGGTCTTGAGCAACCTGTTCTAGTGGAAGGTGTCCCTGCACATGGCAAGGGGTTGGGACTAGATGATCTTTAAGGTCCCTTCCTACCCTTCCAGTCGTTCTATGATTCTATGAAAATAGCTCCTTATTGTGCAAAAATTTATCATCAACCTATGAGAAAAATAATTTCATGCATTTTTTAACCTACAGGATAGTCTACAAGAAGCATAATAAGCAAGTAAACCTCTATCTTGTATTTGTATTAGATTTAGATTTTTTCTTGTCGTTGTTAAAACAGTTCTTGAGAAAGTGACAGCCCTGCTTGCAAATAGAAAAGGACAGACCTGGACTACTAATACAGCATTTCAAGGTTGATGGGAACAACTGAATAATCAAAGGAGGTGATGGGAAATTAAGTCATCCTCAACTATGGAGTTCTCAATAGGAGAACTGGATCCAAAAATAATGAATAGATACATAGAATACATAAGACCTAAAGAAAATTATGTCCTTAAAATGGTATCCTGGGAGAGTTTGGAGTATTTCAGCTATGCCTGAGGCACACCAGTACAGAAGTATGACTTCAGCAGCTGCAATTCATACTTATGCATCACATCATACGTTTTACCACTTGAGAAAGCACCCATGACTATCAGATTATAAACCAGCAAGGCCAGGGAACACTATATTGTCCCACCTACCAAAGGTTCTGCAACCAGAAATTCACAGAATCACACAGAATATACTGAGTTGGAAGGGACCCACAAGAACCTCCAAGTCCAGCTCTTAGCCCTGCACAGCACCATCCTCAAGAGTCACACCATGTGCCTGAGAATATGGTCCAAATGCTTCTTGAACTCTGACAGGCTTGATGCTGTGACCACTGCCCTGGGGAGCCTGTTCCAGTGCCCAACCACCCTCTGGGGGAAGAACATTTTTCTAATATACAACCTAAACCTCCCCTGACACAACTTCAGGCCATTCCCTTGGGTCCTGTCACTGGTCACCAGAGAGAAGGGATCAGTGCCTGTCCCTCGTCTTCCCCTCACGAGGAAGTTTTAACTGCAATGAGGTCTCCCCTCAGTCTCCTCTTCTCCAGGCAGAACAGATCAAGTGACCTCAGCCACTCCTCGTACGGCTTCCCCTCAAGGCCCTTCACCATCTTCGTTGCCCTCCTTTGGACGCTCTCTAAGGGCTTAATATCTTTCTTATCCTGGGTGTCCAAAACTGCCACAATATTCAAGGTGAGGCTGCCCCAGTGCAGAGCAGAGCAGGACAAAGACCTCCCTCAACCAGCTGGCGATGCTTTGCCTGATGCCCCCCAGGACAGAGTTGGCCCTTCTGGCTGCCACAGCACTGCTGACTCATATGCAACTTGCCATCGACCAGGACCCCCACGTCCCTTTCCAATGCTCTGTTTTCCTGCATCTCATTCCGAATCCCAGGTGCAGAATCTGGCCTCCCTGCCTTCGAGGGCATCAACGGCTCCTCCCAGTTTTGTGTCGTCTGCAAACTTGCTTAGTATTCCTTCCAATCCTGGTTTCAAGTCATTTTTGAAGATGTTGAAGAGCACAGGGCCCAAGACAGAGCCCTGCAGAACCCCACTAATGACAGGTTGCCAGTTTGATGTTGCCCCAGTCAGCTGGGACCTCCTTTCCTTTCAGACTTCAGGAATTTCCTCTTTTTTCTAACTCTGAAGTTATTGCATTGTTACTGCTATTAATTGAGTTTGAGCAGTTGCTTGAATACACCTTTTGAATGAGGCCTCTCCATTTCACCTAATTCTGTGCACACAACCAAAGCCTGTCTTGCACAGAACTCAAGATTTATCTTAACCTCTGGAGTGGGTTTGAGTAGCCATTCAGAGGATAATTATCCCTCCAATGAATTAATACACACAATTCCCAGTTAACAAGAGATCCTTGTGCATGCCCTTCATATATTCAATACCCTGCAATATTCAAACTAACAAATGCATAAAAATAAGTGTATTGAAATGAACCTTACCATAAAGATAAACATAGTCATAGAAACAGATAGAGTAACTTACATCAACACACATTTCAGCTCTATAATTACAGCCAACAAGATAAGAGATTTTTAATGGTTGTGCCAAATGAAAAAGAGTATGACAAAGGCGGAACAAAGAGAAGAAAAATATGAGTTATAGGAAGTCAAATAATCAGATATAAATTTTTAAATGATGGTCTATATCTTCTTTACTATAATTAATGATAGAAAATTCTGCCTCGGGCATGTCACTTACAATGAAAAAAAGAGAATTCTCTGAGGCCGAGATCATTGCACCTGCATAGAACTGAAAAGAATTTCCAGTGGTTCTTATTTTAGGAAGACTGATAATACTGACTTATAAGCTGAAACATCATTAATCCTCCTGCACAAAATATGCATCAATGCTCTTTGGGAAAAAAAAAATAACAACTCATAGTTCTGAACTCACTTCAAAACATAAAAATATCAGTTATTTTGAAGAAATAGTGTTAAAGGTATTTTCAGCAAATAAGGGTAAATCCTCTGACATTGAACACAAATACATCTAACTCTCTAAAGATGTCAGAAGCAGTACACATTCAGAGCTTCAACTCTGAAGCTTTATCTGCTGATCCGCCAGTTTATTCCTTCTGTCAAGCTCACACGTCTCAATCTGCTTCTTATGATACAGCATCAGTCTGAAAGCCACACACTGACACACAAACAGAGCAATATTTGTGCTGAGTTAGGCAATGGGTCCACCTCTGAATTATTTCCAGTTCTCATCCACACATTTTGGAGATGAGGGAACCAAACCTGCACTGTCTTCAAAACCCAGGGCAGCCATAGATTCATACAGAGGCACAGCAAAAGTCTGACTGCCTCCTTTACTCCTTTCCCAGTACTGTAACACATTTGAATCGCTTTTGTCTTCTGAATATCTAGTGTATGTTTTTATGGAACTGGTCATTCTCTCCTGCTTTCTGTTTCTCATCTTCTGTCATAGTTAAAGCCCAGCTGGCAACTAAGTGCCATGCATCTCCTTGCTCACTCTCCCCTGCCCCCAGAGGGATGGGGAGGAGAATCAGAAAAAAACCTTATGGGTTGAGATAGGAACAATGTAATAATTGACACAAAGTAATATATAATACTAATACTATTAAAAAGAATAATTGTTGTGTGGTTTTGTTTTTTTTTTTTTAAAGAGAGATTAATAAACCCCAAAAGACCAGTGATTGGCAGCTCCTGACCAACCCCCCCAAGAATATGTACTGAGCATGACTCTCTGTGGTATGGAATATCTCTGGTAAGTTTGGGTCAGCTGTCCTGACTGTGCTCCCTCACAGCTTCTTGTGCTTCTCCTTGCTGGCAGAGCATGGGAAACTGGAAAGTCCTTGACTTAGAGTAAGCACCACTTAGCAACAACTAAAACAGCAATGTGTTATCAACACTCTTCAAATATTAATCCAAAATGCAGTTGCTATAAAGAAAATGAACTATCCCAGTCAAAAGCAGGACATCTTCAGTTCTTTATTCGTTCAGGGGCCTTTCCCTTTGCACTATGGCTGCTTAGAAGCCTCTTGGACATCAAATCTTTTGCTTGCCCCATTCTGCATACAAGCCTCCCTGTCCCTCTTCATCCAGGTATCACAATCACTTCAGGACAAAAGACTCCTAAAACTGTCAAGTGATCAAAGGTAATTATTCTCATTCAAGAAGTTGTTGTTTTCAATAACAAGAATAATTAAATTTGGTTAATCTTCAGAATAAAGTGTATGTTATCCCAGTAGCTATTTTTCACCTTGATCTTCTTCCACATAATCCAAAAAAAAGTCATAATTCTTCATGTTGGAGTCACCAACCCTGTAACCAGTGTTTTCACTCGGGCTCTTCCCCCTTTCTGGGCACTGCTGTTCTGCTTGTACCAATCCACTCGCAGTATCAGAAGATTTGTTCTCAAATCCTTTTAAAAAGGAACCATGTTTATGTTTGTTTTGCAGTGTGCTTGGTATCCTTCTGTGTTTTACACTGACTGCAGACATTCAACAATATAATGTTACAGTTACACTTTCTCATCCAGAACTGAGATTATCTGAACAAGCTACATACTATTAAACAAAACAATC